TCGAACATATTTGTAAGATGGACACAGAAGAGGGTAACTGGCTTCTGTGCGTCTCATTCGATATACAGCTTATCTTATCTTAATCAATAAAGGCCACTTGAAAATTGCAGATAGATACTGTTAAAGCACCTTTGACATAAGGCATTTTTAAGCTAATTTACAGCTAGTTTTCCACATTTTATGTATCGAGTCACCCATTACTTTAGAATAGAGTGCACTAGCTTACCAACTACGCAACTTTGTCAGTGGTCAGCTCTGACGGAAAGCGCTAAGCATTCTTTAATCTGAGGCACAAACTGCTTAACATCAGCATTAACAAGTAATATGAGAACCATCCAGCTATCAAGTGATTAGCTACGAGCTTAACCCTTGCATGCTTGAGCCTTTATCTTGATTCATGTATTCTGTGGATGTCTATGTTACGATAGAGGAATCTCTGTGGGTGGTCCGAATGTGTTTTCAATATGACAGATTTTGTGTTACTTTTGTCCTCTCTTTCGCTGTCTCCTAATTTCACTCCTTTGCCTATCTTCCAGCCCTTTTCTTACTTCATAACATCTTGTTCTCACTGACCATACCACTTGTCCTATGGTGGCTGAGGAAACGAACAAGGAGACCTTAGAAGAGAGGCGTTGCGTGTGTGGGTGAGAATGTGCGTGCATGGTAGATTGAAATACCTGCGGCGAGGTAAATGAAAGGCCTCTGCCTCGCTCAGCAGCAGTGCGTGTATGATTGAATGCTCGTGCCGGCAATCCAAACGGTGAAACGATGCAGGAGAGGTTGGGAGGCCTGCACAGCACGGATTCGGTGGCAATGTGCAGTGCAATCAGGTGCTCAGACAAGGCAGTCCTAACAAACAGGCCCTTGGTGGGCGAGTTTAAACAGCATGTTGGATGCAGGTGGATGGATATGTTTATCACCCTTCGTGTTAATCAAATGTATAAAGATACATTATTGAAATCCTTAAAGGTGGGTTAGAAGTTTGAGAAACACGGCTCGAGATACACTTTTGTTAACATAGTTCAATGGGATGGCTCTTAAAATCCCCGATATATTTAATATACACTTAGTGGCTTTGACAAAACATCCCATAAAGAAATGTAATCTGTGGAAGCCGGTAGTACTGTAAAAACACGACAATCATTTTAGACGCCGGCTAAAGCTAACGGATGGCCTCCTGCCTCAGCCCTTCCGATCTGTGCACACTTATCTCGTGCCCTCATTGGTCATTGCGCGTTCGTGTGTGTTGGAAAGAGGGGCTCTGTAAGGAAGTGCAGATTTTCTCCGGTCTGTGTATATAATAAAATTCCTAGCGACTCGAGCTGGTTTCTCCAAATAACCGTTACCGCCACCTTTAAAGGTCACCGTTTTATGCAAAATCCACTTTTCATGTCCCTTTATCATAAACGCATGTTCCCCTTCTGTGTAAAGGAGAGTTCTGAAGTTCAAGCACAATAGTTTGCTCACTTGTGTTGTCCTGATCCATTTATATTAAAACCTGTCTGAAATGAGCTGATCAGATTTTCTGGGCCACTTAATGATGTCTATGAACGATTTTTTGGCTGGGAAAATTTGCCATCACCACCAAGGTTAACCCCCCCCCCCCCCCCCACACTTATCACTTCTGAATCCCACCCCCCCACCCTAGAGCACCATTTGTGTAATTTTCTAACAATATCCTCGTAGAGGGGGGCGGTGGGAGTGGCCTCCTTATTTTCATCTAAAGTAACAGGACAGAGAATCAGCACTTTTGAAGCAGGGCTGAAACAGAGGGATATGGGATGCTACAATGAACGATCTGTCTTAAGTACCGACGCCAAACACTCAGATAAATGTTTGTAATATAGACGGACTATAATAGATTGATGAAAACCAGTATACATGAGGGGCACCTTAAGAATGCTGTCATCTAGAACCTTTGAGCCCTTTATATATCTTGTCCTGATATTATCCAGAATGGTGCTTCTACTTGACAGTATCTTTCCTGATAGCATAGGCATAAAGGACCCACATAAGAGTCTCAAGAGAAGAGGATGGGGAATGAAAACATGAGATCGAGTGAGGATAGGGGCAAGACACACATAAATTGAGCATCCCCACTCAGCTCCATGTATGGGGGGTGTGTGAAAAACATTGCATTAGCACACTGTTGAGCAGGTTGTGAGGCAGTGGTTGGCAACGGGGCCATAAGGTATTAGAGACGGAGGCGACCGCGCCCCACATCACTGCACCGTCAACGAGACAGTAAGTGGGCCCATAGTTATCGTGTTGATGTGTACTGAAGTATAGCCTGCCCAAAGTGCAGCGCACAGTGCTGGCATGCACAAAAGTGCAACTCAACCTATTTAAAATGGCCAAGGCTGCTGGGTCCATCCACTCTATACCATTCACATTTCGAAAGTCAAACTAACCCGTGCATCCTCCCCTCGGTACCTTTTATAGTTGAACACGTGATTCTAGGATTTTTTAACCCCAAAATACAAGAAGAATAAGATGTAATAGCTGACTGACCATGATTTTGTTGCTGTTCGGCCCATGCGTTTAACAAAGCATTTAAAAAAAACACACATGTTATAAACAAACCACTTGTGAGAGTGAATGAAACTGTGTCAGTGAGTCA